ATATTGAAACCCTGTCTCAAAAAAGCCCAGAATTAGTCTGGGGAGGAGGCACAAGTCTGTTTCCTCGGCACCTGGGAGACAGTCAGGCTAATCTCTTCATCTAGTCCATCAATACAGAGTGAGTTCCAGGCCAGCCAGAGCAGTCTAGTGAGTTTCTGTCTCACAACAAAATAAAATAACAACACGAACGGAAAACCCCAGAGAAGTGGGCCTTTCGGCCTTTCTTCCGGATGGTGGCCTGAGCCTAAGTATGCTTTTTCCAGGACTTTGGACTTTTCCGCCTTTTCTAAAGCTCTGTTCCCGACCATGTGACTGACCTCAGGCCTAACTCAAACAGCATGGCTTTCCCTCCCTCTTAAGCTCCCACCTGTGAATATATAATAAACCTTTCTCTAACACTCAAAGCAACATAGTGTTCCTGCCCCGGGGCCCCTATCACTCTCAGGAGTTCCTTTTCACATTTCCTTAGCAAATATATTCCCTGTGGGAGAAAAAACCAAAAACTCCCCAAGTACAAAACCAAGTTCAGAGCCAACTTAGGCTTCATGCTGAGGCTAGCCCAAGAATGAAACCCTGATTCAAAAAAGGCAGACAGCGGCAGGGTGAGGACTGTAGCTGGGTGGTAGAGCTCTTACCTGGTATACTTGGGGCTCTGGTGTACATGGCGTATACAACAATAAAAAAACCCACTTCCATCCTGTCTTTAATCCTGGCACTCAGAGGACAGAGGAAGGCACATTTCTGTGCCACCATGTCCAGCTTTGGGGGATTTTGCTGTTTTGACACATTGTCTCACATAGTCAAGGCTCGTCTTGAACTCCTGATTCTCCTGCCTCCACTTTTTAAAAAAAAAAAAATTTAATTTACTTTAATTTTATTTTTCTTTATTAAGAAATTTTCTACTCCTCATGCTATCCACAGAGCCCCCCTCCTCCCTCCTCCCACCCCCCAGCCCTCTTTCCCAAGCCACCCCTACATCCCCCAAACGAGGTCTCCCATGGGGAGTCAGCAGAGCCCAGCACACTGAGCCTAGGCAGGTCTGTCATCATAGGGCCTTTGTCCAGTGACTGATGGAGGCAGACACAGAGATACGGCCAGGCACCAGGCTGAGCTCCAGGAATCCAATTGATGAGAGAGAGGAGAGATACTGCAGGTGAGGGACGTTGAGATCATGATGGGAGGATGTGCAGATATGACCGCCCACACTAGTGGAAGCCCATGAACTGTGGACTGGTGGCTGTGGAGCCCCCATGGGACTGGACTAGGCCCTCTGGATAAGGAAGACAGATGTTTGGCTCGAACTGTTTGTGGGCATCCAGGCAGGAGGATCGGGATCTGTCCCTGGTGCATGGGCAGGCTTCTGGGAATCCGGTGCCTGTGGTGTGACACCTTGCACTGCCTCCACTTTTTAAAGACTGGAGTTACAGGCCTGCGCCAGTATGTCCAACTCTGGATGAATTTTATTGAGACAGGATCTCATACTGTAGCCCAGGCTTGCCTTAAAATGACTATGTAGCCCAGGCTGGTCTCAAACCTGGGACAATCCTCCTGCCTTGGTACCCTGACTACTGGGATGACAGACATGTGTCACCACATCTGGCTTTGAATATGCCTACTTTTGCTCATACATAGTATTGATCTACTGGTGTTTCAGAAGGGGGCCTAGGGATTTGACTCGACACTCTGGTTGATCAACTTCCCTTTCACAATTCACCCCAGCCCGGGCTTTGGCCTGTTAGCCTCAGAGGCACCTGGCCTACTTCCCTCAACAGCCAATGACCTTTTGTCTCAGGTCCAGTAGCGTGTTTATCTTCCCTAGGCTATCGGAGCCATTAAAAGAATGTATTAGTTTGCTTTTTGGCTTCCCTGTTCTCTTCTGTTTCCTTGCTTGACAAGATAAAGAAATTGTACAGCTTTGTTTCTTAGCAGATATTTGTTGTTGTTGTTCTTAGGGGAAGGGGCAGGAAGGAATGCCTAATCTGAAACAGAATGAGAGAATTATTCTTTCATTTCTCCACTGCGTGAACCTATTTGTCATTGTGTCCTAAAACACAGTAGTTACTGGACAGGACAGAGTGTGTGGAGGGCGTTGAGTGTCGCAAGTCCATGTTGTTATTCCTGACTTATAGGGTCTAAAGTCCACTCAGCAGTCTGTGCAGAACTAGCTTTATGCTCTGGATCAGAAGGGAATTGGGAAGGGAAAGAGACAGCCAAAGGCTAGGGTGGTCAGGAAGGTCAGAGGAGGTAGAACTCGGAAAATGGGTGGGTGGGGCTGGGAAGTAGGAAGCCGAGTAGGGGGTTCCAGGCAGAGAGAGGCCCAAATCAAAGTTGCAGGATCTGACATGGGCCAGATATGTCCGAGAACCTTAGTGTTAGGAGTTTATTGGAGAAAACAGGGCAGTGGGTGCAGACAGCAGATGGTAATGAGGACAGGGCTCATGTTTCTTTTTGTAAATTGCATTTATTTATTGTCTGTGTATCTATACGTGTATGTGCATGCACTCACATTTACAGTATACAAAGGCCAAAAGACAACTTATAAGAATTGGTTATCTCCTTTTATCATGTGTATCCTGGGAATAAAATGCAGATTATCAGGCCTGGTGGCAAGTACCTCTATCTACTGAGCGCTCTTGCTAGACTGAAGGAGAGCCTTGTCGCTGAGTGGGGACCCCAAGCCCACGCTGTGGCTGATGCTGAGGGTCTTGCACTGGGAAAATGCTTCTGTGACAAGTGCTTGTACAGGCTTTTGCAGGCAGCCGTAAAGGGTCAAATGGACTGGGGAAAGCCTTGCATTTATCTTTTCTTCTGTGGAAACGGATGAGTTGGGCAGTGAAGCAAAAGAGAGGTGACATGAGCCGGGCGGTGGTGGCGCACGCCTTTAATCCCAGCACTCGGGAGGCAGAGGCAGGCGGATCTCTGTGAGTTCGAGGCCAGCCTGGTCTACAGCGCGAGATCCAGGAAAGGCGCAAAGCTACACAGAGAAACCCTGTCTCGAAAAACCAAAAAAAAAAAAAAAAAAAAGAGAGGTGACACGAAAAAACGAGGTTTCCTCTCTGGGTTTTTCTCGTTGCTGGTATAAACACTGTCTGTGGGAGTACCACACTCTCCTGTGAAGGTCAGGGGACACTTTCTCTCCTCCCACCACGTGTGTCCCGGGGATCAAATTCAGACTGCCGGGCTGGGCTGCAAGATGGCTTCTGTCCTCTGAGCCATCTCAGAGCCCTCTTCAGCATACATTTAATATTTAATTAAAAATTGAAAAACTTGCTAGGGACAGAGGTTCCCTGCAAAAGACTTGATTATAAAGCTTTATCCTCATGATCCCGGAACTCCAAGCTCATCTGTCTCTCTCTTTGTTTAACAGTCAGGCCAACAGAATGAAAAGGCCAAGTTTAAAGACTGAGCAAACACAGACGAAGGAAAAAATGACACGGGAGCCTGAGAGTCTGCTTTCTGGATCCCGACCGTCTGCTTTTTAGCATTTCTTCTTTCAGATAGTTCACTTACTGTAGTCACAAACATTTCTTGAGTGTTAGAGGCAGGGATGGTTTAGGTTGTACAGACTGGGCAGTTCCTGGTCTGATGGAGGCGGCATCATTAAGCCATAAAGCATGAACAAAGAACGGCCATAAGATAAACTAGGACAGAGTTAGAGCACAGGGCAGCTGCATGCTGCCAAGCCTGGAGAGGCGCTAGACGGCGATGTGGGTAGATGCACGCACGGCCACTGAACACTTAGCAGTATTCCACGCAGTCCATATTAACTCCCGTGATCCTCAGCTCACCACAGCCTCCCCGAGGTCGGTCCCATCACTGTCCCAAACTATAGAAGACAAAACGGAGGCACAGCGAGGCTAGGTCACCAGGCCAAGGTCACCTGTGAGTGTTGAGATGGACCTCAAGTAATGTCGCACTGTGCTCTTTCTCTTGTCTTTAAAATTATTTATTATTTAAATTTTTCATTGTGTATATTCACGGCACATGGTACTGTATTATAAGGACATTATTATACAAGTATATATCGTACATCAAACACTAACTCCATTTCTTCCCATGACCCCCTACTTCTTCTTTACTGGGGATTACACATGCTAAGGAAGTGCTCGCTCTACTGCTGATATTTACCCCTAGACCTCCGTTTATTTATTTACTTACTTATTTATTGAGACAAGCTTTCAACAGGTTGCCCAGGCTTGGCTCCGTAGCTCAAACAGTCCTTCTCATCTCAGCCTCCCATTGTCTGGGGTTACAGGCCTGTACCGCCAGAGCTAGCTATATATTATTATTATTTTTTTTTTTTTGCTGGTGTTGTTGGGTGTTTGTTTGTGTTTTGTTTCGTTTTTGCTTTCAAACAAGGTCTCTTGTAGCTCAGGCTGCCCTGGAACTTGTCATGATATTAACTACTTTTTTCTATGACTATCTATACCCATTTTCTTTTCTTTTTAAAGCCTACACACAGTTTTGTTTTGTTTTTTAAACACACTGTAACCTGTTTAGAGTTCTTTTCCCCTTCTGGATCTGTCTTTACTGAGCATCTGCAGCATTCTCTGATGGAGTGAGACAAATCTTAAACTGCTATGTCAGCCGACGCCTGTGTGGCTCAGCTTAGTGCAGAGCACTGGCACATGGCACTGGTGGCTGGCTCCAGTCTGCAGGCAGTCTCTGTACACTGAGCCTACCCGAGAGACCGTGGTCACCAGGAAGCCGTGTTTGACTCCATGTTCCAAACTTTTTTTTAAGCCTTTTTAGGCCTTATGTGGATATACATGGCTAGGTATTGGGTGTCATATGTCTTTTTCTGTCCCACCAGCCAGCTCCCAAATAATGACATGGAGACTTATATTAATTGTGAAAATTCAGCCGATAGCTTAGACTTGTTTCTAACTAGTTCTTATAACTTAAATTAACCCATTTGTTTTAATCTGTGTTCAGTTACCTTTACTCTGTGCTGCCCATGCTGCTTCTTCTCCACCTTTCTTTTTCCCAGTGTCCTTTGTGCCTGGAAATCCTGCCTAGCTATTGGCCATTCAGCTTTTTATTAAACCAGTCAGAGTGACACATCTTCACATTGTACAAAAAGATTATTCCACAACAGTCTCTTGTAGCTCAGGTTGCCCTGGAACTTGCCATGATATAGCCAAGGAAGCTCCTTAACTCCTGATCTTAAACCACAGAAGTTCACTACACACTGTGTTCTGAAGCTCCATACTTTTCTTTCCCTCATTTCTCCCCTGAGAAAGTGACATTCAAGCTGTGACCTGATAGATAAAGAGTAGGACTAGAAGGGGGTGAGATGCCCTGTATTTATCACCTGAAGTTTTATACAAAGAGCAAAAATATTTAGCCACAAAAAGTGTGTGATATTCCAGCAGAACTAGACGGTAAGACCTCACTGCTGAAGACACAACATGCTTTGGCTGCAGGACCCAGTGAAATCAAGCTGGCACTGAGCTGGGAGTTTCTTCCTTGCCGACTAGGCCTCGTCACACTGGAAAGTGCTATGCGGGCTGCTGAGGAAGAAAGAGCGTCAACACTCTTGCTCAGCTGTGGACCCACTACAGACCCACTAGACAAGATGAGTCCACAAGATAAATCTGCCACAGGATAACCAGTTGCTTTCTGATGGCCCGTGGGGCCTGCTCCATAGGAAGGAATTCATGTCTGGTGTTGTAAACCTGGTCAAAAGCCCATGTCTCAGAGGCCACGGGCTAGAGGGGGAGCTACTGCTGTTGGCAGCTGAATGAGCATGCTATGCCTGTCCAATTGTCTTCTAAACAACTACGCTTATGCCCATAAATTAGTGCGGCTCTCAGCCAAGCTCCTTTTGCAACGGGCAGCTGGTAATGCAGAGACTAACTGGTCGGCGTGCTGAGAATCAGTGACCACTGAATGGTCAGCTACAAACTGGGCATTTCTAGCACCCTGTCCTTGACTCAGGGAGCACTGCGGAGGACATGGCAGAAAGAACTGGAGAGTCAGAGGGAGGAGCAGATGGTTTTAAACACTGTCTTCAGGGCGTGAACACAGCCCCTGCACTTCTGAACTCTCAGCAAGCGTGAGTGCTGACACAAGCATGCACAAACATGGTCCACCCAAGTCCTCTCTTGAAGCACGAGGAAGCTCACAACGTCCCACCCACCCTGAGAACCTACAGGCAGCTAATAGTCATTGGGTGAGCGAGAGACACTTTTTTCAGTGGTGTAGCGACTGGTAAGTTGCCTGTGTTCCTTCCTAAAAACAACCACTCACCTATGCCCCCATAAGTAACCCTAGTGAAACTCACCAGGACACACGTGCACCCGCACATGCACACACATGCATCCCAAAAACCGTGAGAGGGGGACACCAGCTGGGAAGAGGAAGGAGATCAGCGGGAGGACAGAGAGGGAATTAAGGGACACATGATCAAAACATATTTTATTCACGTAGGAAAGTGTCGTAATGAAACCCATCACTAAGTCAATTGATATATGCTAATTAAAAAACTTTGAGAAAAAGAAAACCACCCTCCAAAAGTGTGAAGGCTCTTGCTGAGAATACTCCTCCGTTCTCTGTCTTTTCTTTCAGACTTGGTCTGAGCAGAGGCAGCCCAGGACTGAGGTGCACTCTGGGGGAGGTGGTTTGAATGGTGTGGTTATTTTCTCTGGGTGAGACTTAGACCTTGGTGCCAGGGATCTGAGGGTTTCATGGCAACAACTGCCAGGGCTCCTGGGAAAGTCCCCAGGCATCTAGAGCCCTGCAGTCTTGGCAGCCCCTGTTCCCCAAATGGACACGGCATCAGTCAAGGCCAAGAACCCAGCAAACAGCTGGCGAGCTATTTTTAAAATCCAGTGTAAAGTCATATACGTATAAGCCCCAGTGGATTTCCCTGGGGGAAATCTCGTCCCTCGAGTAGAAAATGCTTGAAGTCAAATAAGGAAATCTCTATTTTGATTCCCAGCAAGGCCAAGTGCAGGGCCCTGCTGCCTACAGCAGTAAGTACTAATCCGGTTTAAGCAGGAGAGCGGCAGAGCTGGGGAGCCAGGGCAACTGGGGGGCCTGGAGAAAAAGGTCAGGCCTACTGATATTTATCGGGTTAACACTGTTAGCGTGTGTCCAGGTGGGTCCGGCAGAAGAAAAGAACAAAGACAGGAGCTGCAGCTGCGGGGAGGAGGGAGTGAGGCTTGTATCTGCCCATCCGCCGCCGCCGCCGCCGCCGCCGTGCTCTGGAAACCTTAGATTCCCTCGTGTCCCTGCCCAGAAATTAAAAATACAATTAGAGGACCCAGAGGAAAGAAGAGGGAGGGAATCCATGGTTCTGGAAGGAGTGGGCAGACAGGGCAGGAGGCGGCAGGCCCGCTCTGTCCAGCCAGCTTGTCTGGCTCTGGCCACTGCTTCTTTTTGTGATCTTGCCACTCAGCTTAGGTCTCAGGCGCCAATGGGAAGATAAAGTATCTTATCCCTGGACCAGAGGCACAGTATGGCCCGTAAGGACAAGCATTTTGCTTCTCCTAACAAACACTTTTTTTTTTCATACAGTAACCCAGATTTACTTGTCTGTGGTTTTCTTCTTTGCAAGGCCTGAAGTAACAAATTGGACTGATATATCTAGAGAAGGATGTCTTCTCTGTTCCCCCCACACTGGGCACTTCCCACCGCTCCTGCCTCATACTCGCCTGAACGTAAGACCAGGCGTAGAGAGCCATACGCCTGTGATCTCAGCACATCAGGAGACCAGGAGCTCAAGATCATCTACGTGGAGTTTAAGGTCAGCCTGTGACAGTAGGCTATTTCCTTGCGCTATGTGGAACTATGTTGAATCCATGTCATCAGGCCCCCGCCCCCAGTCTAGTCTTTTATGCCCCCCCATCCTCCTCCTACCGACCTGGTCTTCAAAACTCCCAAATGCTCAGGTCCCACTGTTTTCATTCACACAGCTGAAACAATCATCTGGGTCAGGAGAAACCAGCATTTTCTCTGCCGCAAAGTTCCTCATCTGCCTCTCACTATGTGGGTGCTGGGAACCAAACCCGGGCCCTCTGCAGGGCCAGCAAGTGCTTTCTTTTAACTAACCTCTCTAGCCTTCAGGCTGACCCTTTTCTCTGATCCTCTGATCTCTACTTCCCAAATGCTGAGCTTACAGTACACTCCATCACCCAGACTGAGAAGTCAGTTTCCTTTCTCTCTCTTACTGTTTTTTGTTTTGTTTTGTTTTGATACAGTTTTGTTTTGTTTTGTTTTATATAGCCCTGACTGGCCTTGAACTCACAGACATCTGTCTGCCTCTGTCTCTGCCTTCCTAGTGTTGGAATTAAAGGCATGCGCTGGCTACACCTAGCCAGTTTTTTTTAGTTAAAATTTGTATTTATTTCATGAGGAGTGGGGGGCATGTGCACGCCACAGTGCACGTAAGGGGGTCAGAGGACAACTGCAGGAGTCCATTCTTTCCTTCCACCTTATGGGTCCCGGGGATTGAACTCAAGTCGGCAGACTTGGTGGCAAGCGCCTTTACCTGCTGAGCCTTCTTGCTGGCTGAGTAATTAAAAAAATGCAGTCTAGATTGTTTTCTGTAGTCAGAGTCAGTGCCTGTGGGATTTAAGTTTTGGAGTCTGCAGTCCATTCACAGGGCCCAAGTTCCCTTCTCATAGGGATGAAATGATTTCATTTTGCCTGCATGATGAAGCAGGCCAATGTACAGGCCATGCCTTGACCCAGAAAAGGAATCAAGATCGCAAGAGAACAAGGTTCTCCAGCAGGCTTATCATCTGCAGTCCAGCTGAGAGCTGAAAGGATCATTTGCACACTTAAATGTGCACTTTTGCAAACAGGGATGGCCCTGCTTGCCCAGGAGGTCCTAGATGATGGAAGTTACATACTTACTCCTCAATCAAAGCTTTGACTTGAGGCCTAATATGTCGCAGGTCATTAAAATGAGCGAGGGAGCTGCTAGAAGCTTTTATTTTGCCAGTAATAATAAGTGTGTGCAGAATTTCTTCAGTAACTACAACACTGTTGGAGTTCTGGGCACTAGGGCTCATAAAAGGGCTGGATGTACCTGGGGGCCACTCCAGGAACACACATTGCTTCTGTCAGTCTTACTCAAAGCCAATGATATGCAACCATCTGCCAAGTGGTCCATATCTCACAGCAACATCCACCACATTCTAGCAGACCCCTTCCCAGACAGCAGAGAGTAGAGCATCAATACTGTGGCATCCTAAACTCCCAGGGAAGCCTGAGCAGGTTTGATTAACCACATCTGCACAAATCCCTGGATTCAGTCCTTGGTCACAACTAGCTAAGCGGCAGATCCACTAGGAGTGCCCGGGGTCTGCCTTCTTAGTCTCCTTGGAGAGGCAGCCAACAACCATCAGTGCAGAGGTCTTTATAACCTGCATCCTTCCAGTCTTTGCTCATGAGTGACACTGTCTGCATGAACTGCTGCTCACTGGTATAGGAGCACACCTCTTCCTGGCAGTCAAGGTTGTATAAGTGGCCCAGTGCCCCCAGCCCACGGTAGGGGCACTGCCAAGCTATAGGCAGGAATTAAAGTGTAAGCATGCAGGCCAGTACTTTTGCTTCGGTGCCACCGTGATCAGAGAATACCTAGACAAGCTTCCACCTGTAAAAGCTGTTAGTTATCAGAGTCATTTGTTTTCTTAAATGTCCAACTGCAGCCTGCTGGGAGCTGCCTGCATCTGCCTACAGCCGGGGATAGATAGCTGTGAGAGCTAAGGATGAGAGGGGGACATCCAGATGATAGTAAAAAGGATTTCGGGGGCCGGAGAGATGGCTCAGTGGTTAAGAGCATTGGCTGCTTTCCCAAAGGTCCCAGGTTCAATTCCCAGCACCTACATGACAACTCACAACTGTCTTCGACTCTATATCCAATGGATTCAACTCCCTCACACAGGCATATATGCAGGCCAAACACCAACACACATAAAAATTCAATGAATAAATAAAATTTAAAAAAAGAATTTCATCCTGTCCCAATGCTCATACTAACAGATCAAGTCAAAAGAGCCATGGCTCGAGACAACTAGACGAGAAACAGCTGGACTAAACAGCCGCCAAAGTGGTGTCATGGCACCTGTAAGAGTCACTGGATGTGAGAAGTGGCCTTTGGTCACAGCAGGTGCCACTTAACCACAGCTTCTTGCCACTGCCGCCTCTATCTATCTATCTATCTATCTATCTATCTATCCATCTATCCATCTATCTATCTATCATCTATCTATCTATCTATCTATCTATCATCTATCTATCTATCTATCTATCTATCTATCTATCTATCTATCTATCTATCTTATATCCGTTTTATTATTGGCCAAAGAACAGGATAATCTGGGAGACAGACTCACAGATCACCTTCTCAACCCTTGGAGGTGTTGGAAGTCAAATATAACTAAAAACATGAAAGGGAAGAATATTCATGCTTTTTCTGGGAATGGGAGACTTTCCTCAACTTCAGACAGGCCCACTTTTTGCTGCTTGGATGTTTGCTCTCTGTCATCAAGGTAATTGTCAACTGCTGTAATGCTGGGGGATGAAGTGCCATTTAACATGCAGATGAATTATAATGATGCTAACTGGTGCTTTTTAAATAAAAAATGTCTCTGGGAGGTTCATGTATTTGAACACTTGATCCCTAGGTGGTGGTGCTATGTGGAGACATTACAGAACCTTTAGGAGATGCAGCCTTGCTGGAGGAAGGATGTCACTGGGGTGGGCTTTGAGGGTTTATAGCATCTCCCCACTTCCGGTTCTCTCTCTCTACTTCCTGTGAATTATGGAAATATACTCTCAGTTTTCTGCTCTTGCTGCCACGCCTTCCTTGACATCATGAACATCTAGCCCCTGGAGCCATAAGCTAAAATAAACTTATCCTTATGTTGCTTTGGGTCATGATATTTCATCACAACAACCACAATAAAATAACTAAAATAATGAGGGTCACTCTGGTTGCTGTCTTAGATGTAACCAGTTTTGACAATCTCACCTGCTAAGGAACTTATATCAACAGACATCCTGTCCTCACAGTAACATTAGAGTTGGGCAGAAATTGGGCTAGGTCACACAGGCAGTACAGTGGGTTACAAGCGTACCTTCTGACCAGTTGTGTGGCTTACAACTGTAATCCTAATTATACAGGAGGCTGAGGCAGGAGAATTGTAAGACCTATGCCAGTCTGGGAAACTTGTTGAGACTGTCTCAAAAAAAAAAGTCTGTCTGTCTATCTGTCTATCTATCTACCAGTCTACCTGTCTGTCTACCTATCTATCTATCTGAAGGATGAGAGAGATAGATACCAGTACTAGAATGCTTGCCTAGCGTGCTTCAAACCCAGGCCCCAATCCTAGTACAAAATAAATAAACAACAAACATAAAAGAAAGGAGGGCTGAGGAGGAGTGGGAGAGAGACTGACTGATTCTAAGCTGGGTATGACGACACAAGCCTGTAATTCCAGCACTTGGGAAGCCGAGACAGGAGGATCATCCAGGCTGAGCGACACGGTAAGACCCTGTCTCAACAATGACAGTAATAAAAGTATATTCTGAGGCACTGTGGGGTTAGGTTATAGCTTGAACGTATGGCACCCATTCAAGGGTACCCATTTTTTAGCTCGTAACAGTTATCAGTGGACAAATCTGATTTTTTTTTAATTGAGTTCTCTACAGCTGTGGCTGGTCTCCAACAGCTCCTCCTCCTCCTCCGAGTACTGGGATTGCAGGTGTGAGTCTGCACAACTGCCCAGCTCCCGCCACCATTTTTTTGCTTCAGTTTTCTTGTCTCTTACCTGGTACCTACCTCACTGCGTTCCTGTGCCACAGGTGTTAGGGAGAAACCTCAGAGCTAAAGACCAGACTGAGACCATACCTAGTGTTTCCAGGTTCTTGTCAGAGAAAGAGATGAGACCAAGTAAGCGGGGGAGAGGAAGCAGATTTTAGAGCATATTCAAGAGGGAGTAGACTTCTCCCCACAAAAAAGCAGCTGGTATATTTTTCTAAAAGAAAATGAGGAACCGGGCAGAGTGGCACACATCTGTGATCTCAGTACTTGGGAGGTGGAAACAGAGGATTAGGAATTTGAGGCCAGCCTGGGTTACATGAGAACCCTGTCTAAGCACAAAGACATGCACAGAGAGACAGAGAGAGGGGAAGAGAGAGAGAGTGAGTTTATCTCTGGGTTGTGTCTAGAGAAAAAGTCGCTGAAATTGCTAAGAGAAAACAGTCATGCCTGGCAGCTCAAGCCTGGTATCTTGGCTACTCGGGAGTTGGGGGGGGGGGGGTCAGGGGGACAGAACACTCAAGGCCTCCCAGGGCTACAGAGCAGGTTCAGTGCTGGACTAGAACACATACAACTCCTACAAAAGAATTGGGGACACAGCTCAGCGGTAGAGCACTAGCCTGGCATGCTCAATCCTCCACTGTTGAAGAAGGCAGAGAGACACCATGACACATTTCTCTGAACAGTAAAGTGTGTGTTCATGGGAAAGTTATGAGATGATGAAGTATTACTATTGCAGAGAATATGACATTTATTGTTTGGCTATAAAGAAATCTTATCAATTTAGATATCAGATCTTTGACCCAGGCTCAAGTCCCCGATCTACCACTGAGTTGATGATGTATGACTTGGATGAATTACATGCCAATTTTTTCATCTATAAAACAAGAAGAGAAATAAATACCAACTGCTCATTAGAGCTGTTTTGAGGTGCAGACATTACAGCAGTGCTTGTCCAGTTGTAGATACTGTCCTCAGTATCTCCTTCAGTGTCTTATCACTGTACACATGCATTCTTCTATCCTTCACATTAAGAATCAAGAGACAAAACAGAAATCCAAAATGTCTTTACAAGGAAGGAGATTGGGCCAGTGAGATGGCTCAGCAGAAAAAGGTGCTTGTTGTCAAGTCTTCTGATCTGCATTGGATCCCTGGTAGAGAAAGAACTCCTAAAAGTTGTCCTCTGACCCGTGCATGCACCCACAAATGTACACACATATACACAAACAAGTTTTAAAAGTGGGAGGGAATTGATATAGTCCCTGTTTCTGATCCTATTAGAGTTAGCTTGCTTCTGAAGCTGTCTGCCTAAAAGCCAGGCACACGTTTGGAGATGTCCGGCATAGATTTCTTTCTCCTTGGTGTGTCTTTGCGTGGAAGGCTCCCAGTCTCAGGCTTTCCTTCAGTTTAGCTTCAGCTGCCCCGTCTGTCACCTGGTGATTGACACATGCTCACTATTGTTCTGGCCTTCTGCTGTGAGTAGGCATCCTTTTCTCTGGTGCTGGGTCAATGCCGCTGCTGGGGTTTGTTTGTTTGTTAGAAACAGAAACTCTTGCAGTCTAGACTGATCTCATACTATGTAGCTGAAGGTTGGCCTTGAACTCTTGATTATCCTGCCTCTGCCTCCATCCCAAGTGCTGAAATTACAGGCGTATGCCCATGATAAGCTTTTTTTTCCCCTTTGGGTGAGACAGTGTGATGGCTATTCTTGGTTGTCAACTTGACTACATCTGGAATTAACTAAAACCCAAGCTCTGAGGGATTTCTTCTTGATTCGGTCACTTGAGGTGGGAAGATCAAGCTTAAATCTGGGTCACCCCTTCTGGTGGCAGCCTATATAAGGAACATGGAAGAAGGAAGCTCTTGCTCCTTGCCTGCTGGGCCACACTCATTGGCTAGTTCATCCTTCCACTGGCTTTAGAGCCTACTTTAGGATCTCGACACATACTGAACACCAGCTGAGACATCCAGCCTCATGGACCAAATAAGTATTGGATTCTTGGACTTTCCCTCAGCAGACAGTCATGGCTGGAATAGTTGGACCATAGCCTGTAAGCCACTCTACTAAATTCCATATATATAATATGTATTCATTCTATCAGTTCTTTTCTCTATAGAACCCTAATACAGTGTCTTGCCTGTGGCACTGGTTAGCCTTGAACCTGAAGCAGTCTTCCTGCTTCAGTCCTAGAGTGCTGGGGTTACAGGCTACAGGCCTGTGCCACAGTGTCCAGCTCAACGGCATACATATGTGACATAGATGTCTTTTTTCACTTGCCAGAACTCTCTCCCAGAAGCTCTGCTAAGACTCACAAGACCCGGGTTGTTCTAGTTGCTGAGTGGGTACCAAACATCAGCTTTCCCAGTCCTGTCTTTAAAAGCGTTCATAGGTCTTACGATACATTATGATTCTCTGGGTTGAGAAATCTGGAGCCTTCAGGCAGTGATTCAAATGTTCCCTATGTGCTTTATAACAATTCAATATTCAACACGTCTCATTAATTCTAAATATGACTTAAACTAATAACTTCTCATTTATTTTGCCCTCAGGACACTAATTACGAAATCAGAAATCTCATCCTTCCTCCAGAACAGGATGGCCATGTGCCTCTCTGTTAGTGAAGAGCTCTCGATTTTATTATTGCAAGGCTGCTCACAAAGTCAAGGTAGGACCTCTTTTCACTGGTCTTGTCGGATCTCCGAGGTTCATCTCCCTACTTGTTTCTTGCCTCCTTCATGATGGCCCTTCTTCGCTTTAGACACTCTCTCCAGCATCTTGTTCAGTGCATTCAGGGCAAAGCTTCAGCAAAACAGACCACCTGATGATCCTGGAGATTATGTACCAAACTGGGAAGTGGAGACACCCATCAGTTAGTCATTAAATCTGCAATTTCAAATAGCACTTAGCAGCGTGAGAAAGAATAGCTAAACCCTGTGAGAAATCTCTGGAGGCGAAGGCTTCACCTAGGAAGTGGCAGCTGAGCTGGAAGAAAAGGACAGAGTGTGCCAGGGACCATTTTGAAGAGTCTAGACTAGGACAAGAACCAGGCCTGTCGTCATACCAGTACCTGCCAGCCTCACAGTTGTTCTCTTACAGAAGAAAGGGATGGACAATGTGGATAACATAAAGAATGAAAATGGGCCCTATTCTGATGTGAATCAATTAATGACTTGAACTGTTAGTAAAAGAGATTCAAAGTAGAAGATGGAGGGGAATGTTGTACATGATAAGGTTGAAGTAGTAGTAGTAACATCATACTCCATCCTTTAAAGACAGTATACTCGGCTTTAGCCAGGCATGGTGGAACACACCTGAAATCTTAGCTCCCTAGAGGCTGAGGCAGAGAAGCCTTGCCATGAATTTCTAGGCCACTCTTGGATACACAGTGAGATCCAGGCCAACACAGGCTACAGAATGAGATCCTGTCTCAAAAAGCAAAGCAGAATATTTAGAGAATTTTAGTCTCTGTCTTACCAGTAAATGGACACCTGTAAAAGATCATTCACTGCTTTAAAAATTCTAGCCGGGCAGTGGTGGCGCACGCCTTTAATCCCAGCACTCGGGAGGCAGAGCCAGGCGGATCTCTGTGAGTTCGAGGCCAGCCTGGGCTACAGCGCGAGATCCAGGAAAGGCGCAAAGCTACACAGAGAAACCCTGTCTCGAAAAAACAAAAACAAAAAAACAAAAACAAAAACAAAAAAAAAATTCCTGTTATAAGCCAGGTGGTGATGGCACACACCCAGCACTCAAGTAGTCTGAGCCAGGCAGATCTCTGTGAATTTGAGGCCAGCCTAGTCTACAGAGAGAGTTCCAGGCTGTTACACAGAAAAACCCTGTCTCAAAAAAAACAAAAACAAAAATCCTGTTATATGTTAGACACTGTTTTAAAAATTTCTTGAAAAAAATTTCCTAGAGTTGGGGATTTAGCTCAGTGGTAGAGTGCTTGCCTAGCAAGCGCAAGGCCCTGGGTTCGGTCCTCAGCTCTGAATAAACAAACAACAACAAAAAATTTCCTACTATTATCCCAACTTTACAGGCCAAAGACGAGGTACAGAGGTTGCTTATTCTGTTAGTAAACAGCAGAAGCATGACCCAAAGCTGGAGGCCCCTATATTGACCTATGAGCGAGAGTTAATAATGTACAACTGAGTCTAATCCTTTGGCAGGAGCAGCCAGCTGTGGAGCCTGGAGCGGAGGAGTATCAGAATTTAATGAGCTAATCATTGAATTCAATCCCTTTCCTCTCCCTCCCTACTAATAAACTTTTTAATTATATTCTGGCTTCCATATGGATTTTTCTGCAGGAAGATAATGCACTGACCAGTCTACATAGGCATTTTGGTCTAGTTGGCAATTTTACTACTCATTGTGAGTTACTTACTCTTAATGGCTGAGCCATCTCTCTAGTGCCCAAAACAAGTAAAAATTATGAAAGCCTTGACTATTTTCCCATGAAGGGCTAGTTTGAAAAAGAAAAACAACGAATAAGAACAAAATATTGTCTCTTTGGTGCCTTAACATCAGGGATGTGCTCTTGGCCATGGAGAAGAGCCTGCTTCTCCTATCTTTGTTGAGGCTCCAAGCACGGCCCAAGAGCTTCCTTTGTTTTCCACCGTGCCTTTCTCAAACTCCCACCTTTCCACTGGCACACACCCTAGAGAGAAAGGCTCCTTGCCGTTCACAATGTACCTAATTTTCCGAGCCATCAGCATCACGGTATCAAGCGCTTCCTATGGTAGGAGCAGACTGTTCACTAAAAGCCGATGTTCTTCACAAATGATAGATCTCGGGAGCCACCAAGGACACCAGCTCCAGGCTTGCCCTACGGCTGGTCAGAGCAGATGCCTGACACTGGCCTCACAGTGGCTCTCTGCATGCAAGCAGCTCCCCACTCCACTCTTTGGTGGCACATGTTTTATTTCACTTTTTCCTCTTAATTCCTTTCATGGGCAAAACTGAGACAAATGCCAAGGTTTGAAAGGGAGAGTGTCATGAAATCGAGGCCATTTGACCTTGACAAGCGATCTGAAGCACATTCGAAGGCTTGGCTAGCGCCCTCCCCAAGACACACACACACACACACACACAAAGGCTTGGCTAGCGCCCTCCCCAACACACACACACACACACTGATCGCCCTCCCCAACACACACACACACACACACACACACACACACACACACACACACACACACACACACACACACACACACACACTGATCGATATTCTCCTGAAAAGACTGATTCGACATCCATTTCTCCCTCCGAAGGATGCAAAGCCAAACCGTGCAAGGTCAGACTTAGGACAGAAGAGGCTCTAGCGAGGCCTCCGCGACTCCAAGGGTCCACGAAGCCCGGCGCGGGGGGAGGGGAGGCTGGCAAGTGGCAACCGTTTTTAAACAATGCAGCAATCCCGTCAGTTGCCTTTACGGCCGTTTTCCCCGGAGCAGTTACGCGAGCAATGACTAACACATGGGCCGGAGCCCCTCGGAATCTCTCGCCCCCCGCAGGGAACCGCGCAGGATGAAAAAGGGCCGCGCACAGCCGCCTCCGCGGCCAGCCAACATGGCCACCTTGCCAGGGCACAGGGCCACCCGGCGCCGGCGCACGAGGCGGGGGAACGGCGCGGGGGGGGGGGGGGGCAGGAGAGACCCTCGGCTAGAGAGTCACCGCACGAAACGGCCGCCATGCCCGCCGCCGCCGCCGGGGGGCGCGCGCGCCGGCGGACCTCCGCGGGCAACGGTCGGAAGGGATGTGCCATGTCCCCGCACAGGGGGAGACCGTCCCTCGAATCCAAGTCGCCTTCCCCTCCGGCGTCCGTCGTGGGAAGGGGCCTCGAAGCCCGGTCTCTCCACGTACTCACGCCTCCGTTTACCTTAGACCGCCGAGACGGCTAACTACGGGCAGGAGGCGCGGTTCCCTCCGCTGTCGTTCCCCCCCCCCAGCCCGGCGGCAGAATGGTCTGGCCCGCACTCGGCGGGGCGCACCCGCCTGCCCACCCCGCACCCCCGCCGCTGGCGCATTGGCGCGCGTCGCCGAGGGGCGGGGCCCGAGCCGGGCGCGCGCCGGCGCCGCTCTATAAATACCGGGCCCCGCCGCCCGCCGCTCCGAGTCTCCAGCCTGCCGAGAGCCGAAGCCAGCCTCCCTCTGCGCGCTTCGCAGTGCCCTGCCTCGCCGCTGCTCCGTCGCCCCCGAGTCGCCTTCTCTCGCCGCCGCCGCCGCCATGAACGGACAGCTCAACGGCTTCCATGAGGCGTTCATTGAGGAGGGGACGTTCCTCTTCACCTCCGAGTCCGTGGGGGAAGGTCACCCAGGTGAGCGGACGGGGACTCGGAGCAGGGAAGGGGCGGAGGGCAGTGGCGCTGGGAGGCGGGGGCGGGACGGGGGGGGGGTTGTCGGATCGGTGAGCGCGGCGGCCGCGCGCCTGCAGTGTGTGGCCGCCGCTCCCCTCCCCCCTTTCTCCCATCCCCATCCGGCGGCGCGCCCCGGCATGCGGAAGGTTCCAGAAAACGAGAAGGGCGGGGGCCCGCGGCAGCCTGCGATCGGCGCGGGGAGGGCCCGGTTTCCTCTTTGGTCCCGTCATCTGGAAAAAGGCTCCAGTGGGCGACCCCGCCCCGCGTGCTCGCGCCCGGCCGTCGGGAGCGCGCGCCCCGCATTGCAGCGCCAACCACGTGTTCACCGCATGTGGCTTCGGGGCGAAGCGGAGCTGGCGGGGCCTCGAGCTACCCGACCCCTGGGTTTGAAGTGGGGGGGGCTGCTGTCTCCAAACGCCCTGTCTCCATTATACATGGCTTCCGGCCACTGGAAATGCTTAAGAGTATGGGTGGACATGTCCTTAGGCCTTCAAGGTGACAGGCAGCCGCCGACTAAATATAGCGCGAGTTAGGGAGGGCATCCCTTATTTGGAGGCTGCGTGAAAAGGATGAGGAGCATGAATTAAGTGCAGACTCCCATCGCCTTAGGTTTCCTTTTAAAGTCTTTCCTTTGGCGCTTTCCCTCGACTAAAGGAGGATTTTTTTCACGATTCTTTTGGCTTTGTCCACTGAGCCGCCATGATGAAATGGGTTACAATGAAGCTATTTTAGGGAACTTTGGGTCTCAGACTGAACATACCATCTAGTAAACAGCATGCTATTTGAGCTGCTTCTGTTAAAGGGTCCACAGTAACATACTACTTGGTCTGGTGGAAGAGATGATCTGCTTGTAGTTAGTGGCCTCATTGATGATAAAGAACAAACCCAGGAGGATCTTGATGCATGAAAGTCGAGTGTCGCTGTGGGTTTTTCCTCGAGGAAAGGGGTACCTCCACATCGATTGAGCCACTCCCTTGTTACAGTTGATAGATTGGGTCGTAAGACTCTGGCTGCAGTACACAAAATCCACATGACTGGAGCCAGGCATGGTGGTACACTTCTGTAATGCCAGCATTTAGAGTGTAGAGGCAGGAGATTAAATTTGAGGTTAGCCTGGGCTACATGTTAACACCTTTTCAAGGAGAAATTGAATATGCTATAGAATGCATTTGAACAGTTTCCTGGATCATCTCTTGCTGTTAATTCCTGTTCATAGTTTTAAAAGTCTCGTTTCCCAGTTAGGTTAGTGTTCTTCAAGGTTAGAGTGGTTGGTCTACATATGGCCTTGGTTTATTCAGAACCCCAGGTACAGAGATTTGGTACTAGTTAGAACTTAAGGAACTGAGTGGTTCTACTAATAATAGGGGA